CCTATATGGTCACCAAACATTAAGGTGCGCGGGATACAGTCTTCGGTACATGCACGTAGAATTGCCAGCGGGTAAGCGGTACCGTACCGTTCTACCGGTAGTCAGCGTGTCAGTCAGTCAGACTACTGAGAGTTTTAGTCCGGAGTGGGTCAGTCGGTTAGTCAGTCAGGCTGGTTAGGCTTAAATTAGAGTATCCGCGAGCAGTCAGCCGGTCAGTCAGCCAGGCTAGTTAAGCCTACAGGGAAACAGTCAGCCGGTCAGTCAGTCAGGTCGGTTAGTCCGCCCAGTGACTGAAGGTCCAGTCAGCCGGTCAGTCAGTCAGGCTGCTCACGGCGATCAAGACAGCGGCCACTTAGTCAGTCAGTCAGTTAGTCAGCCAATGGTCTAGTGGTCAAGGGGACAGTGGGTTATAGGAACCGGAACACTTGAAATCTCCCCTGTGGACTAGATTAGCGTGGCGGTAGATAATGCTGACTTACCAATCTAGTCTACTTATCACAAGTAAGCTATTGGATGATTCGTACACAGCCAGCATGCCTAGTCCATGGAGATGAGCTAGAGCATGAAAAGAATTGATAGTGGCACCGATGAACGGCGCAACTCGTGCTACTTTAATGCTTGCTACTGAGTACGAGAGTACGTTGCAATGATCTGGACTCCGGGAGGCCCGTCGCATGCAGAGGCGTCACGGTGTCGTAAATTGCGGACGAAGGTCGCGGGAAGTCGCAAAAAATTACGGAACGTTGCGGAGCATTGCAAGCGCATCTAAACAGATAACAGGCAGAGAATTTGCCGGGGGCTGAAAACATGTGTTGCAAACATGCAAAGATCTGTAAGGCTGCGATGAAAGTTGCGAAGGCCGCAAGACAAAGTTGTGGACCTGGCAATATTTCGTTGTATAAAGTCGCATAAGGTTCCTATTAAGATCAGTCGCAGGAGGTCACCCCTTAAGTCGCAGGCAACTTTGGCAACCTCCCGGGGAGTCCGGGGTCCAGGGTTGGCCTGACAGGCCTAGATTTCATAATTCAGGCATGTTGTTTGAATTTCATGGATTGGCTTTAATACGTACTGCAATATTCACAACCAGCATTGCCTGAGAACTCGGAACGACCATCATCCCATCACTGATCAGTAGCGCCGCGCGCGCGTATATAGCAGATATGATAGCAGTGCACTAGCAGTCATGTGCATTATTGTCCGTACTAGCCTCAGCATGCCTTACCGCCAAGGGAATGCGCAGCAATGTTGGTGTGAAAACTTGATTTCAGTGAGTCATAGCCTGGGGTTTCACCCGGGGCCCTGAAAGTGTATTGTTCATCTCAAAATGAGTGTAATTTGCTTTTCCCCACTTGAAGTCACCAAGAAGACTGTTTCTACGTTTACGCTTTCACTCCAAGTTGACATGAGTCGGGGTCCCATTTAGTTTCAAACAATTCACACTGAGGTGAATTCCCAGCTTGAATTGGCGGTACGGTGATAGTACTAGATACTAGTAGTACATACTACACTTTTTGGTACTTACCAGTAACCATATAGCTAGAAATAACTGGTAGTAGAATGGATACTGTTGTGATGACTCACGAGTGACGACTCACGAGGTCACAAGGCTCTGCCAATGACATCATGTCAGTACGAGTCGTACGACGTCACTACGGACCGTTGACCCTTTCGTTGACCTGCATGGTGCAAAAGTCAAAAGCCGGGGCCCCATGCAGGGGCGGGCCAGGGCCCCGGGGCCCGGGCCCAGGCTTGAGCACCTCAGGAGTCGGTACAGGCAGTTTTAAGAAATTAGTAGGGGCGGCGCCTCGGGGCGTGCCGCGCCGTCGAGGGCCGCGCTTTTGCGCCCCTGGCTTCTGGCCGGGGGCGATACAAGCTGCCCGGGGGCGTTCTGTGCCCGGTTTTGAACCCCCGCCTGCGCCAGTGCAGCGCCACTCTTAATACGGTAATGTTTAAACAGTAAAAACAGAATCGTTCGTATGAATATTCAGGAATCAGGATCCAGGTGGCAGTTGGACGGGTCACGACTCACGGGCCGGGACTTTAGATAGGCACCCGGGAGACGGGTGGGGTTAGTATGAAGGTTAGGGTGAGTTTGGGTGCGGAGCAGGAGATTATCTGAGTTCAGATTTTTGGTTTGTTTGGTCGGGAATTGTGAATCTTAAGTCACTCACCCGTTAAGTCACCCCGGAGTTACAAGTGAATTCGAATGGCAGTACGGGTACACGCGGGGAGTATCTTTTCGATCCGGAAAAGGTTGCGTGCCATGACGGCATGCAAGCGTGCTGCATTGGCCAGCGCATCTTCCTGAGATCCTTGAGGTTTGCCAGACTCGATCAGCGAACGGACTCATTCGATCGCAGGGCGGCTGAGCTGGGTCCTACGAATAGGACTAGTCACTACCGTACTTCGAGCCCACGGCCAAACTAAATCAAAAGTTGAAGGGCAGTACCGAGGGAGCACGCTGGAACGGCTGCAGGTGCCATTTTTCTGATTTCGATACTACTAGACAATACAAAGGAAGCGTGCTGCAGGCGCCAGTTTCCTGATCATCTCCAAACTACTAGGCAGTACAAAGGGAGCGCGCTGCAGGCGCCATTTCCCTGCCAGATCTCCAAAAATGGCTGCCATCGCTCGTTTCAAGGCTGCGCAGCGCTCTTATCGGCTCCAGGAGCGCCTCCGCAACGTCAAAGACATGAGAGTCCGAGCTTTGAGCTTGATCTTTCTCCTTGCTGCAAGCGTCTTCCAGGGCGCGTCGGCGCAGCCGATCGGCTGCGTAGTGGATGGGGAATGTCTAGCTGGATCGTGCTGCACTGCAGCATCCACACGTGATCCAGGTAAGGGAAGGAGCCACGTCTCTTCGAGCTTTACTCCAGTGTTACTCGGAAAAGGTATAAAGACGCATGCCTTTGCCAAAAGACTCTGCTTGATATAGGCTGGAAAAAGCACCCCCCCTGACGCTTCCACCTGCCTTCAACTGCCCTGTGTCCAGATGCTGTGGCTGCTGATTGCCATTGCAAGAAGTCTGACTCTGAATGTCCTCACTGTATAATGCTTTCAATTCCTGCTCAGTTTCACAATGTGACAAGCAGCCTATGGTGTCACCTGGTTGTTAATGGACTGTGGCTGAACGCCCTCTGAACCAGCTTTGACAGCTTACACTGCTCCACTGCAACTGGAAAGAGACACAGAGCCTATTAATAGAGGATGACTTGTGAGTCACGTAAGGCGTTAGTATGAGTTTGGGCCTAGACTCTGAACATATTATGTGGCTTATTCCAGGGTATTGTGGAACCACCTGCGGCACGCAGTGCTGCGCCGCCGAATTGAACATGGCATGCAGTGGCGATGCAGCTACATGTGGAGCAGGTGAGAATTGGTCACGGTTCAGCAGGATAGAGAGCTCTTTTCCGGGCGGGTTTTGGGCAGGCTTGCTTCCAAGTTCGGACTTTCTGCTTAGCTAATCCTTTGAGTTGCCTCCAAACTTCTTGCTTTGAGATGCCTCCAAGTCCTTGCTTAGAGGAAAGCTCCTATTTGCTTGTGTATGTATCATCATGTCTCGTGCCTGTGCTTGGAACATTGTAGTCCTTCTCAGTGTATTGGGCCTCCAAAAGAAAGGGAGAAATTTGCCGGCACAACAGAAGCTAGCTAATATGTTTCAAGCTCATCCACAGACGGGGGGGGGTTCCTCATATCTAGAGCAACAGCATGATGTGTTCCTCTTTACCAAGCCTGTGACTCGTCTCAATCTACAGGGTCAATTGGCGGAGAAGATCCCCATTTTGAACTCACTGGACTTCCAAACGGCACAGAATTCACGTGGGATTTCCATGGCATTGGCAACCAAACGTATTGCATGGTTGCAGACTCCTTCCTTGGCGTGAGTCTGTGTTTTGCCCGGCCTTTGAACTTGACACTTCCTCCAAGTTGGAGTGGCAAAACAGACCCTGTGATTTGCTAAAAGGTTCAAAGGTATATTGAGGGAAATTGTCATCCATTTTGCCCTGGGATTGAAAGATGGTCATCTTGTAGACCTGGAAGTGTTTCTGGATAGGGAACAGAAGACCGAGCAAGAATTAGTAACTGGTCAAGCTTTGCTGGCTTCTGATTACACATCTCTTGTTGTGAGTGTAACTAGCGCTGTAACAGCCTGAGGGCACTTTCCTAAACAGGGTTAGGAAGAGCAGACGTTTCATGTGCAGATTCGTGTATGGTCAACCATTGCCTGCTTTACAAGTCTTGCAATTAGAGAAAGACGCAAGTTAATAGAAGTTCATGCGCATGCAGTGGCCACTAAGAAATCTTGGGTATTTAAAGCTAGGTGACACTTCATTCCGGGCACCCTGCACCAGAATATTCTTATATGTCGTCATTTGTCCCTGTGCAGATGAATGTCCATATGTTCAGCAAGCCAGCTGACGTCACTATCTTAGAGCAAAGGGCAGAAGTTGACAATGACTTCTTTGAAGGTACTTGGATGGATGAGATGGGAATTATGTACTTCAATGAGCACAGTGAGAAGCAAAGCCTGGAGATTGTGATGAATCACTCAATCGCACGCACTTCTGGAGACCCTCTCATCATCCGCTACCTTGGGAAGGATATCGCAACACACTTGGTGAGCTTTTCTCTTCTTGCATCTGAGTATACTCACAGTCAAGTATCTGTAGACTGAATTGCATGCCTTGGTCCTTTGGGTAGGCTGGGTTTGTTTCTCTGCTAGCTCACCACTGCTCAGATCACATTTGAGATTCCTGCCTGTTTGCATACATGCTGTCCCTTTTTTGACTTATGCAGAGCTGACTCAACTGAAGCAACTCGGTCACAAGTATGTTGAGATTAGCCTTGCAATCAATCCTCTTCTCCTATGCAAAATTTAAGGCCAGAACGTTAGTCAATGTCACATCATGAAAATGATCTTAATGCTTGTGAGCTTGAAAGGTGCGGTGCTTAATCTTAATTAGCCCGTATACTTGCTATCTGACATGCCTCAGAGCAAATCTGGTTATCAAGAGGTCAATTTTGCTCATTCCGATCCTTGTTCATCTCAATATGCAGTTCAAGGAAGACGAAGTCAGCTGGACCAGTCCGGACAAGAGCATCATGGCAACTCGTTCTTCCAACTTCTCCGTCTCAATCTCCATCCCAAGTCTCCTAACCATGGAGGTCGAGGTGGAAAAAGAAACGGAGCTCATCACCGAGCCACCAATTTACTACCTCAACTTTAAAATCAAGATGATCGCCACGACGCCAAAAGTGCATGGAGTAAGTGCGAGCCAGTGGTCTTACAACTTATGTATCTGCACTCCTGTTGGATATGGAGTCTGCAAATTCTCGTGATAGCCTGGCCCCAAACAAGATTCGAAGACAGCGAACATGTTTAGGGCTGATTGACGCATTCGATCAGCTAGATTCAAACCAGGTGACCCCTGAGCTTTTTGTACAGTGTGTGTAAATCTCAATCGATTGCGCACCGGTTGTTTAGTTCTTGCCCCTCTGCCCAATCTGACGTGTACGAGTAGGTTGGCTACTGATCTCTGAGATGGTTTGATCCTGTTAAAGTGTCCCGATTGTGGACGAATCATCTCATTCACAGGCAGGCAACACTAGCCAAAAAGTTTCATAGGTGCATCATGGGTAGTCCTGTACAAGTAGAACATTCCGAAGGCCCATGCGACCTTTCAGGAGCGTTTTTGAGAACCTAAATCAGAATACCAATGTGCATGTGCCATTTTCAAGTTGTTCGATTGACGTTGGTGCCATCGAATCGTCTGGACAAAATCCGAACCACTAGTATTGTTTCGTTTCCATCACCAACTTTCTGAGATGGTAACCTTCGCTCATTTGAACTCTCATTTGAAACTCGTGCAGAGGATTAGTTGTGTCTAGGCATCATCTGCCCGTCAACCCTTCGCAAGCGTGTGTAAATTTGAAAGCCTAATTGCTGAGACAATCCCTTCCCTGCATGCAGTTTCTGGGCCAGATGTATGCTCCCGGAGCGGTAGAGAAGCGCCTGAAAATGGGCACTCTTGACGGGTTTCATCACCGCGAGTACGTCGAAGGGCCGGACGAGGACTACCTGACTTCCAATCTGACCGAAACTGACTGCTCCTTCAACCGCTTTGGAACGGTGCGTGCTTCTTGCTCTGGTTTTCATGTCACTCTATTCACGTGCTCATAACCTTGTCATAAAGGTCGGCTTTGCCTTGAGCTCCAAACTGCTAAATGAGTGTTCTGTGGTTCTGCTCTTTGGTTGGCAGCTTCAGATTCAGAAACGTCGCGCCTGTAGAATGTGTAATTGCTCGCGGATACGAGAGAATTTTAAGCCACTGACTGATTGAGGCCATCCGAATGTGACAAAAATCCGGAGGCCGCTCGGAGTCTGGACTTTTTCTCAAGCGTGCCCATTATACCATCGTCTGTCTAGCTTCTCGTTCTCTTCTACTTTTGGGCCCTTCCTGACAAGATTTAGATCTCTCTGCGCAAACCTCTTCCATCCGATTCCGATCATGTTTTGACCTGTACTGAAGAATACTTTTCGACCCCCTACTTTCCTTTAGTCTCCTCGAAGCTTTAGATCGAAGAACGATGTCTCTTTTGCCCGATCTGCATACTACGGATTTCAGTCTGACCGACTGTTGCTTAGCCTTCCGAGTCGGTACCACTGTAAGAGTGTAACCATCCTCGACTTTAAATTTCCAACTTGCATTTCTTGGTACCCCACGTCCTGACCAGCTTCAATATTGCAGACAGCCTGGCTCCAGTTTCTCTGGAGCATTCCTTATATTGAAATAGATGCCTAAGACTCGCGAGCTGTTTCTCTTCTGCTAATGGCTTATCCTTACATCCTTAAGTCCTTCTCTCTGAGAAAGCAGGCAATTCAATTTGGCTCGAAGCTTCGACTTGTATTCTGCTCTTTATCTTGACCTCTCAACGAAGCTTGCTAGTAGGTTTCGGGCCCATGTCCACTTATTCTCTATTGCTCCGACTGTCCTGTCCCTTGCACCGGCTCGTGAGTTATACTATATGCAGAAGCATTCGCTTATACCTATGCAGAACCTCAGCGACGGCGAGACCGAGAGCGAGGTCGTGTTCGGCGCCTTCTCGTCCACCTCTGAGCGATCCGGAATTCCCGGGCGCCGACTCCTTAAAGCCACAACCGCTCGAGAGTCGCGCCGGCTTCTCGAAGCCATGACCCGGGGATCACAGTGCGAGTGCGTCCCCCTCTGCAATGGATCCCCGTGCACCGACTCCTGCTGCAACGGCGTGTGCACCAAAACCGACGGGGATGACGCAAACAACTGCGGGGGCTGCGGGGTTTCATGCAACGCCAACAACGCGCTTGGAACATGCGTTGCTGGCGTTTGCCAGTTCTTTGGCTGCCAAACGACCTATGCTGATTGCAACTCGAACCTCCAGTCGGATGGCTGCGAGGTGAACCTGTTTACAGGAGAACCTATTCCAGGATCAGACGACATCCAAGGGTGCGGCTCCTGTGGAAGGTCCTGCTTACAATCTGAAATGAACGCGTTGCCACGGTGCTCGGGTTTCCAATGTGACTATGTTTTTTGCACAATCGGTTACGGGGACTGCGACGGGTTCCGGGCGAACGGGTGCGAGAGGCGTCTGGATGACGTCCAGAATTGTGGCGCGTGCAACAACCGCTGCTCTTCCCAGGGCGGCATACCTTTTTGCCCCGGCGGCGGAATATGTGCCATTCAATGTAACTTTGGCCGGGGGGATTGTGACCGTGACGACGTCAACAGCCAAAATGGTTGCGAGACCGACTTGACTACTATTCAAAACTGCGGAGGGTGCGGGATCCAGTGCCTTCAGCGTTCGTTTGCACCTCCACCCCAGTGTGTTAACCGGAATGGTAACCTGGTGTGCCTTTGAGGCCTTGGTAAGTATATGCGTGTGTGAATGCAGCTACGCCAATCAGTGCAGAACCAACATGTCGGAACATAGCTTTGAAAGTGGTCGAACCTTTGGTCAGCTGCAGGCTTTACTACTAATTTCAAAGTCGCCCAGGTTGGTGTTTGAACCCTTGGCCAGAGGACTCAATTTGCTCCCCAAGGATGGATTGGATTGGTAGTTCTAACCGACACGCAGCCGTCGGGAGGAAAGTTCTCGTGCGAGCGATCGTGCCAAGCCTGGTGTCGGTCTAAGGCAGGAGCTAGAAAACTTTATTGCCCCTCGGCAGAACAACTCTCACGTCTTGAGAAGGCAATGATTTGATAGATGCATGATCGGACCGACGTTGGCTCTTGTTCCGTTAAGGAAGAGATGGGACTGGGTACCTTAGATGCGGCTGGCAACGGCAATCAAGCTTGAATAGTAAAATAGTATCTTTCAATGTTGTTGATTGAACGTTTTTGTTTGCGCGACCGGCCAGACCACAATGATTGACGTATAGCTTAGCGGTTAAAGGCTTCATGCACTGCCGGACCGTACGGTAAAACCGTGTGCATGCATGCCGCATTTAAAATGTTTGGACCGGGAGGACTCCCGTCGTGCGCAGCTAGCGATCTTGTCGAAGTCGGATCACGCGGTGTCTCAAATTTTATTCACGTATCTAAGTTCACAACCTGATTGATCATTTGAGTACATACGCGAAGATTCCTGTATCTTCGCTTAGATTAGAGGTTTCGTGGGCGCTGCACAATGAAGTTCGATAATCGTGCGGACGATCGTCGACATACATGCATTCATAACCGGATTTGATAGTACATTGACTGGTGCAAATGACTCCTACGGGCCCCCGGCCTCAATCATTGGCCGTCCTCGTCATGCCAGCATGACGTGTCACGGTAAGTACGACGAGGGTCCATTGGTCACTTCCTCTTGAATAGCGCCCTAAACCGCGTGAAGACATTGGGCAACGTACTGGTTGTCGAAGGGACAGGGGCACATTAATTAGTTATTTTTGCAGCTCAGGCAAGTGAGTCACGTCGAATGTCCTACCAGCTTCAAAACGCAAATCACACTAGCTCAGATATGCAATCGTCCATGCATGCGGTTGAGTCTAGCCTAGGATGACTTGGCCCGTTCCGCCCGCTGCTAGCCTAGGCGTGGTGTCAAATGAGTCTCTTTTCAAGACCCAACCAGCCTCAAATTACGGCAGTGGGCCGCTGCCCCCATCTCGACCATATTCCTGCGAACACGAGTAGTGTACTACTCATCGCAACCTCATTCTGGTATGCTCTTAATCAACAAGGGCCCGTGCAATTATACCGCCTGAACGTCATCCATGAAGTGCACCCGAGTGCATCGAGCTGGGCGCGCCCAAGTTCGAATCTCGCAGTCAAAGAGCGGCGCCTTGATGATTTTTCTCATGACGTCCTGCAAATCTGCAAGTCGGTGTGAATGAGGTCAAGTGCGGCCAAGCTTGATCCTGCAGGATCCGCCAGCCAACCGTTCCTTCAAAAGCGGCTAGCAATCTGGATGATGATAAGATCGGAAAGGAAGGCTGGTTTTTCCTTCGGCACTTTCAGAGTAATCATTATTCGGCGTGCCATGTCCTCATGGAGACAGTATGTCTCGCCTTGACTCTGGTCCCTTTTGGCACCCAAGGGATGCACTGGGCACTAATTTTGACCTCGATTGCTAAAAGCGTTATACTGAACGAATCATGTCAAGGAAGCCGTTTGAAGCTTCATTGAATGTTCCAGTACAGCAACAAGCTTTTCGTTGAAATCCGCAAAGGCGGGACGGAAACTCCGCCGTGAAAGTTCTTCACCTTCCCTTATGTTGCGGAAATTGCAGTCGGTGGGCGTTTTGAAAGGAAGTGGTTGAGGTGCTTCACCGGGCACGCCTTCCTTCATCAGCGACTTGAGCAGCCGCGCACTCCAGCTCTCTCATCGCAAACACCTCGCCAAAATTACCGAGAATGTGAAGTCAGCGGCGGGCGGGAAAACTCTTCTCTTGACGTCAAGTCAAAGCCAGACACCATGCCAGTGACAGCCGAGAAGAGGAGAATGCTTTTGGGTTCACTTGGGGTCTGAAAAGCGGGCAAGCAGTGCGGGGTCAGGTTGGGGCCGCGATAAAACGCGTGCTGGGATGCCGGGGTTTATGGCGAAACAAGCTCGTAGTGGTTTGATCGACGAATGCACGTTTCTACCGAAACCTGAAGTTGCACCGGAAAGCACTTTCTATCGGAGCTTCTCAATTTGACAAGTGAAAAGAAGCAACTTCTACGAACAGTCAAACTCGACGTTCGCAGTTCAGAATGTTGCCCAGATTCCAGTACCAGCGAGGCCTTGCCGTTGCAACTCTCACAAAAGCTCCTGGTACTGTGTAAAAAGTATGCGCTCATCCAAATGCGAAAAAGCATTTCAAAACAAGCAGAGAAGATTTCAACAATCGACTTTTACGCATAGCTAGTACGTGAAAGCAGATTGTCGGTGAGCCACAAGAAGAACGATAGCACGTATCCACTTTGGCACCGTTTCACGAAGTGGACCCACGAGGTAGGATATGACGCCGACCTAAGAGTGCAGCGATTTGGGAGGTGCCGAAACCTGCAGCGTAACGGGCTTCCAAGATGCGGGCCTGCCATTCCGACTTTTTTTTTTTGAAGAAATTGCCTCGTTGTTTGTGCGATGAGGACGCAACTAAACCGGATCATCTTGCAGGGCTACAGACCGCATCCGAAAATGCCACACATGCGCCAACGATCGGCCATGATGACAGCAACGAGAGGAGTTACTTGCTGAAGGCGGCCCTGTGCAAAACAGGACACGTGGGCGCACAACAAAACGACACGTGGCACCAGACCGGGCGCTCTACTCACCGTGGGGCTGGTGACGATGACGGACTCGGTGGCCCCTGTATCACGAAAGATGCCCCGCACCTGGACCATGCGCTCCTTCAAATCCAGCTGCTCCAGCTTGTCCACCTACAAAAACGAAACCAGAATCAATTACCCTTTCCGAATTTCCACTTTCCGAATGCGAAATCCGAGCTTCTGACTTTCCGAATGCAAATGATTATTTATTTAATCGGAATCATTACCTTGGACTACGGTATCTCGCGCTTCACATCATGTATTCGGTCTGACCGAGGCTTATGTGTTTTCTCATCTTAGACCCTTCGAGACTCCCCTGCCAATCTCCTCAAAGGCAGAAACAACACTGCTGCTATGCTGGGCGCTCCTTCAGCTATTCCAGCTTGTTCACCTGCAAAACGAGAAACAGTCTGAGAGTCTCGTGCCTTGGTTATCTGACTTAGCCTCCCGAGGAAATCTCTGATACGAACGCATCTGCTGTCGATACTCCAGCTTATCCGACGTGACGTCATCGGCTTCGGTCAAGGCGGCCCTCTATCTGGATTCCGACCGTTTCGAACAGCACCTTCGCGCCTTTTTCTCGTGGACGAAACGGCACTAGAGCTAATCATGAACCTAGGGTCGGCTCTCGAACTCTGACGATCATTGGTCTGACTGACAAGAAGCACGGGGCAGTCTGCGTGCAACCTGCTCCGCTTTGATTCTTGCTCACAACACGGTCAAATCTAGAATGTGGCGACCTGACAAATCCTGACGGACCAAACGCGCCATCTGAACCCAGGGTCGCAACGGGATGACGGAGCAACGACCCCGCACCGAGTTCTTTCGTCAGAGCTATCTTCGCCGAGCTGTCGTTGCGCGCTGCCGGGCAACAAAGAATCAACTGACACACCCAAGAGTCTCCGCTTGAAAAGGCACTTGAAAAGGATCAACAGTAATTAGCGCTGCGCGGATCTTTCAACCCGGAACCGGAAGCAAACGCGCATACCAACAGACTTGCGCGCGCCGAAGAAACAAATTTTAAACACGCACCGCGTGCATGTGTCTCCTTGGACCTGTCGTCCTGCCCAAACACCGCCTCGATCGCCGCCGTCGCGCTCGAGAGCTTTTACTGCAACCGCTTGATCTTCCCGAGAGACGCGTCTGGGAAGTCGGGGAAGGGAAGCAGCCGGAGGTATGCCCGGTAGGGGCGGTGTCGAAGATGATGCGCGTGAGCTTCTGGTACTCGGAGGCTTGAATGAACTGGACCACTTTGGAACCAGCTACCCGCTTCGTTCAGACCTGGTGAGAGAATTTCGAGTTTTAGTGGGTTTCGAGGCACTTAATCCAACCGTTTTGAGGTCTTGAACGGATCACGCAGAGCGAAAGTGGGCGGAGGGTACGCCAGGTTGGGACGGTCTCGAAGATGATGCACGTGAGCTTCCGGCACTCGGAGGCTTGAATGAACTGGACGACTTTGGAACCAGCTACCCGCCTCGTTCAGACCTGGTGAGAGACGTTCAAATTCCAGTGGGTTTCGAGGCAGTTACTTCAACCCGTTTTGAAGTTTTGAACTGGTTACGCAGAGCGACCAAAGCGGGCGGAGGGCGTGTGCGGTAGGGGCAGTGTCAAAGATAACGCACGTGAAACTATGGGCATTAAGGAGATCCGCTACCGCCTCGTCTAAAACGGCGCAACTTTCTCGACTTTGATCCTCTTGCCTTTGGAACAACAAAAGCGATGGGTCGCCGGTACCTGAATGGCCTTCAGCACTTGGGTTGAATGTAAGGCTCTATGGAATCCAGCGAGCCACGGTTTGAGCATCCCGTCTCCGCCTATGCCCTTTGAAAACTGGAAATGTTCAGAAGCAATCTGGCGGAAGAGAGATGCTTGCCTCCACGAGCCTTTTCACATCCGTCTGCTTTTAGAGAAACAACCGTGCTGTTATCTAGGATGCAACCATGATGTCTCCCAAACCCTTGGTTCCGGTCAACTTCGTTATAACTCGAGAAACGGAGCATGTATGGTGCGAACCTGGCGGGAATGACTAGAAGCAAGCAAACGCAAGCGGTACGAACTTGCTGTGGAATCACTGCACGAAAGGAGTTAATCAAATTATGCCACTTGCCGGCCAGATCGTTCACGCTCACTTCTCGACAATATGTGCTCTTAATCAGTGAAGAAAGGCATGGCTGGATGAAGGCTAAACATTTCAGGTCAAGCGCTAGAAAAGTGCAACAGAATCTGGGAGTCACGTCCACAGAATAGCTGATGGCATCAGGGAGAGCACCGATTCCACTGAAAATCTCGTTTGCAGACAGAGTAAGTTCAAATCTGAGCTGGTTCCAGATTCAGTTTTCGGCAGAAGGCACCCGGACGTAGGCAGAAGTGTGATCCACATATAAGCTCTCAAAATAGATCTCAGACCCATTCACGAGTCCTACTCATCATTGTCAAAGCCACGCAAGCTCAGAAACGAGCAGCGAAGCAAGAAGTCACGGACTAGCAGCTTGGCACCATTACCAAGCGAACGTGAGCGGTATTAAACAATGAAAGCCGGCTTCAAAAAACACCAAAGTCACCAAGCACGCCGCGACTCTTCAGGTGCAGTTTTGAAGTGT